AACTTGTGCCGTAAATTCTATGTGACTAAGCATGAATGGCTGGAGTGTCAGTGACAGAAGACTGGGGTAAATGTACATTCATTTCTCACTTTTAAGAGCCTTCAGAAAGTGGTAAAAATTGGTAATGTTTTTATATAAAACATTTTAAGCTTATATATTGATCATATAAATTGAAAGATTAATGATTACAACTATAATGGCAAAATACACGCCTTCTTTTTAAATGGCTGTCAAAGGAGAAATGTGCATTTTGCATTCATAATGATGCAATTGCAAAATGATGTAATTATCGAACAGCAGGACAGTGCTAACGTTTGGACAATGACAAGCCTAGAACTATATCACTAGAACTATCTAAAAAAAATAATAACTTAACACCCACTTTTCACGTTCCAATCAATTGATGGATAAAATTAAGCCCTGCCCTACATATTTTTTTCTTTTTAAATATCTAAATTAATTCATAATATATCAGATTATAGAATTAAATAAGGTTGCAAATACTGTTTAATGTTGACTCTAAAGTTTTGTGTCTGTTGAGAACCTCATAACATTTTGCTTCATTTAGTTTATGTGAATTGAGGTAGGCCAAGTCTGTAAGCACAAGCTCAAAATACTCCCTTGTTAAAAACGTATTTGTTGATATCACTTTCCACTATGGTGATTCATTTATGTTAATGTCTTCTCCTGGTGCAAACAAACACTTCTGTGCCAACAGTGGGCCTTGGCTACCTTAAATCATATTTGTCTAATGCGTTTGTGTGTGCATAGCGGGTGCCCTCATATGTACTGTATGCCAGAGTGTGTTTATGCTTCCTCTTTCTGGCTTCTTAATTTGTCTGCTTCACAGACAGTAGGCTTCTCCTGATGTGTGGGAAATCCATTTGACTGAGAGCACTTCCAGTTGTTGAAACATGTAGGTCTGGGCAAATCAATACACTGTCTTTTATTCTCATGGCATGGCGACGGGGACATATTTCAAGGAGCGTGGTTCAGAAAGACTGTGTGTGAGTGTGTATGTGTGTTTATACATCTGTGACTGACAGGCAGGGCAACGTTACACTTCATATATCTTGTCTGTCAACTTTTATTGCCGATGGGAGCTGGGCTGGTTGAAGGCACTGAGATGTGTTTCTCACATGTGTGCACTTCAAAAAGAACTGTATCCCAGCACCCAGAGGACGCCCCCAGATCCCCAAACCTCAGCACTGAGAGACTTATATATCTGCCACTTTGGCCTGATCTGCCTTATGAGATACCCAAGAGCAGGACTGTACTGTATTGCTTCCCTCCATATTTTCATTTACACAAAGAGAGGTCTGTTGGTTGATTCATCTGAGGAATTGTCAGAGGGATTTTTTTTTTAACAAGTAAATGTAATGGAAAGTGTGATTTGTTAATTTAAGGAGAAAAGGGAAGGTGTGAAAAATCATCCAGCAATATATGGCCTTCTGACAAGAACATGGTTGGAGAATTAGGTGAAGCTCTGGAGAACGGTCCGCTAATTATTTTATCGCATAGGTAGAAGCGCTTGTCAATTTCTTCCCACTTAGATTCTCCCCTTCACTCTCAGGAAATGGGTAGCTGCCAGACAGAATTTGAATTTAATAATATGCCAAGTGAACCATGAGCCTGCCGTATGGATCCTGCAATGGAAAGAAAAATCTCTTATACAGTAAGTCATGACTTTTGCAGAAACAATTTTGTAGCCGTAAAGTTAACTTGTGCATCCTTGTCAATGATAAATCCATTTCATTTGCTTTGCAAAATATCGGACAGTGCAAATCAGAACTTTAAATATGCAAAAACAGGACACAACAGTAAAGTGTGCACTTTCAGTTGATATTGACTTTATTTTCCATTAAGGATAATAGCAAATCTTATGGAGCATTAAACTGCATGAGGCACTCTGGAGTTTTAAAGGTTTTAAAAATCCAATATTTAATTGAGTTTACTCCGCTTTTATTATCTGTTATTTTGTTTTGCACTCTTTATTGGCTAAGGAGATGTCTACATTTTTTTTTTTCAAGGGTTCACAACAGAAATTCATTTATTAAAGGAATAGTTCACCCAAAACTGAAAATTATCATTGCTCACACAACCCCAAGTTGTTCCCAACCAAACACTTGTTAAATTTCTTTCTTCTTCTGAACACAAAAGAAGATATTTTGAAGAATGTGGGAAACTGAACAGTTGCTGGTAGCTAATGCCCCCCCCCCCCCATAGTATGGGGAAGTCAGCTCTTTTGCACTACAAATCATTATATCTGCACTGCTGTTTACTTCACTGGTTTGCACTCTATCTGCCATGTGCCTTGTGCTGCTTTATATATTTTTTTACATTTTACCTTATTTGTATATTTGTATAATTGTATTTTATATTTAATCTGTATCTATCTGTATTTGTGTTCTTCTGTTAGTGTTATCTGTATGCACCAAGGGTCTGAGAGTAACGCAATTTCAATTCTATGTATGTATGTGCTGTACATGTGGAAGAATTGACAATAAGCAGACTTGACTTGACTTGACTTGAACTGTTTGGTCCATCATCCAGGACTTCTAAACATCTAATGTTTGGCTCTTAATTCTCTTGCTGTAAAGGATGTGCTTTATAAATATGTATTGCAACCGTAATGGGTCAAATGGATGATAACTTTATAACCTTCTTAAGATAAGCTTTGTTGTGTTCCTCATTTGGGTAAAAGTGTCTGCTAAATTAGTAAATTAGTGTCACAGTAGTGACTTTTGCTGTTGTTTTAGAGCTTACAGACAGTGGCTTGATTCAGTGTGTTTGCATGCATGCCACAGGTGGCTGACCGGTAGGTGGGGAAATGCAGGAAGTCTGTGTGGCCGCATGTGTGTGTCAGGCCCAGCATGTTTTTCCCTCAGCAGAGGCGAGGTATCCTGTATGTGTGCGGCCCGTCGCCCAGGGCGGCTAACTTTCAGGAACCCCAGCGGCAAAAACAGCACTGTGTGTTTCCTGGTCTCTTGTGCTGTTATCAGTGGACACGACACCCGCTTGTGCCCCTGCAGGTTTCCTAAACCACCATCCTTTTTGCCTCCGGTGTCAAGATGTTGCCCTGTGATTGCCACAAGAAGCTTTTCTCTAACGCACGCTGTGCACAAAAGAGATCGGATTGAGTCCTTGTGATAATAGAGGGTAAGGTCTATTTGTGCTGATCTGACACGAGTGCGTTTCATTCAGGCGGCTCGCAGGCTCCCAAATTGAGAGGCATCTCACCGAGTTGTCTTTGTCTGAGAGGAACAAAGAGTCAAACCTGCACATCACGAACTAGTGAGAGAAGTTTTGTCAGAGTTCCAGACTTTTTACGATCTCTGAGAAAACATAACTTGTCAAATGAGAAAATAAATACCAAGAATTAAGCTCAGTCTTTGCAATTACATAAATAAATCTTAATTTGAGCAGCTGAAACAAGAGGAAAACATTGTTAACATGAGTACAAGACATTTGAGCTCTGGCCAAGTTAAATGTAGTTGCCAGAATGATTTCATAATCTTATTGCAAACCCTTATTGTAAAAGAAACCCCTCTAGAATATACATCTCTCACTTGAAGCATAACGTATGGGTCGAGTTGGGGTTAAAAGCGAGATTTGGGAGAGGGAGTCTGCGATGCATTAACTTCATGAACGGCGTCTGTGTGAAAGAGGCTGTTATCATCAGGCTGTAAACGACGCTTCTGCTTTTCCTGGCTCGGCGGGCAGAGATGAAGTCCAGATGGTCGGGGAAGTGTTTGCCCAAGGATGTAACCAAATATTCCAGATTGAGGGAGGAACCAAATGTAAAAGTTGAAGAAGGGGTCATTGAAAAACTCATATTGATATACACAGGTTTTTTGGCTTGGGGGGTGTTGGGATATATATGGCCCTGTTTACACCTGTTTACATTAAGGTCTCTGGTGATCCGATCACAAGTGGTCAGCTGAGAAACTTCGCCATTTATACCTATTACTAATGTGTTTCCATGTCGTCTTTGTACATTTTCATTATAATTAGTTGTGGGGAGGAGTACCTGTACTACCTGAAGAGCATTTATTATTTAAGCTTGAAGTATACTTTGGTTTTTCAAAGTATACAGTCGAACGCATGGCCTATAAGCCTATTTGATAGTGTGCGCAAACACAGGCAGTCAACACATGTCTGTGCTATTTCTCCCCAAAATTTATGAGCAATAAAAATGTCTTTGTACTCATTTAAACTAAACATGTGTGCATCTCTTAACCCACTCATGCACTTGTCAGCTTGGGGATCTATTGTTTTCGCCAACTCCAGCAGTTGGCAAAAAAAATAAAATAAAAATCAAGGCGCATATGCGAGCTGAGCATACAAAATGTGCAGTTAGAAACAATGGGGCGAAATTTTCATCAGCACACATTGCTGGTATACCCTGTTACCTTTGCATGTAACATATGCATAAAGTATGCAAAAGTATACTACAGTATGTTTGATTTAATTTATCATGTATGCATATAAATCTGTTTTTCGGAAGCTAGCGTCCATATTCCATATTAAATATTTCCAATTTAATTCCTATATTCTTCTTTAAATCTCACACTTGCAGCTTAATAGGCCTATCTCACAGTGTGATTTTATTTCTTATTTTAAATGTTGTCACAATTACCTTTTTCACCTTTTACTTTTAAGTATAAACAGCTTCCGTAATAGATGTAGCGCTGTCCAAACAGATGTTTATACCAGGTGTAAATGGGGCCTATTGGCCTTAAGTTAAAGCAAGCTGTGTGACAGAGAGAGAGAGCAAAGTACCACAACAAACCATATCCGTTATCATCCAGTTCTTTTCTCATAAAATCCCATTTATTCCGCTCTACATGGAGATTATCCCATAAACCTGTACATATTTATATCCAGATGCCTGTTGTGTCAGGCTCCGCCCACTGCTAGAGAAAGCTCCGCCTACTCTGCACCTGGGCTTCCCGCCGAAGCTCGCCGACTAGAGGCAAAGTACCACAGCTTCTCCAAGCAGCCGGGCGGGCGTTAGAGGCTCTTCGGAAGAAACCGTTTCCCCCACTACTTCGCTGTTCTCTAAATATTTCTGACGCACACTAGGATCAAACGTTTTTGTGTGTTTCGTGTTCATGTTTTCGGACAGTTGAAGGAAAACGAGTTGAGCTCGAGACACACACAGCATCCTCCTCTTGTCAGGTTGAGCCTCATCCGAGCCTCAGGCTCACTGCCCTTCAGCACACTGGAGCGTTTCTAGCACTGTGCACTGGAGTTTGACGGACACATTTTCTTCTTCGTCTTGGAAGTACACGTTTAAGACTGAGAAACATCGCTAAATATATCGACCGGAGTCGAGGACAGGAAATTAATTTTTCTCTCACAACGCGGTTACGCATGGTGGGAATTTCTACCTCTTTTCAGTGTAAGTCGCTTAGTTACTGTTTTTATCTCTATTTCCCGTGATCTCAGATGAATACTTGCCAGTCTGTACACTTTAGCCACGTTTAATAATTTTATTAGGATGCTTTATTTTACATTTGGGTAAACACTTTATATTATTTTTCTTTCTGTTATATAGCTGTTAGGCTATATGTTTCGTTTTCCCCATATTGCTTAATTTAGTATGATTTGCAACATAAAGCGAATATCACCTGCTATAAATAATAATACGCGCAGTTGTCATATTTGCCCATGGTAAGTTAAATGGCCACTTACATTTACAATTTGTAATGTTCGCTGCTATAACTGTTAGATCTTAACTAAATGATAAGGATATGACGGCATTTACCTCTATTTGTAAACAATGCAAAACATCGCTCATGCAAAGCGTTTCTTTCATGTGACGCGTATTAATCTACTCTGGATTTTATGGCTTATTTTATTATCGCTTTGAAATATATTTTATCGGGCTTTTCTCCCGTAACTAAAGGGAAATATTGTGTATTGATTATGGCAGTAATTGTCGTTGTAGATTGTAATACTATATAACCATGTTTTTTCATATGAATATGGTTAATGTGTTCCGTCTCATCTCACGTGCTCAGATAATTTTTTTAATCTTATATTCTATAGTTTAGCAAATCCAACACAACACAACAAACGAATTTTAATGCAGCTTCTAGATTTGTTTAGAATTCGTAATTTTCCTTTTTTATATATAATAAGAATAATATAACAGATATTTAACTTATTTCTACAGTATACTTCATAACATTCATAATAATATATGAAGTCACCCAGTCAAACATTAACTGACGATCAGCTTGTCATCTGTTGGTTCTCTGTTTATAAACACATGAACGCTCTCTAATAAGCTCGAATTGTTGCTGGCCAGCCTTTGCATTTGATCAAATCAAATGTTTGCAAGCACAGGTAAACATCTGGTGTGAGACGGGAGGGAAATTGTCACACCATGATGCTTTTTAAAAATGTTGAGAAATCACGATTGAGAAGACGCGTTTGACAATTGGGATATAACATCTGTGTTTACTTGTGAAAGAACAATCGGTTGACAATTGTGACAACACAGTTGAGAAGATGTTTTTGACAATAGTGATACATATTTTGAGAAGATCCATGACAATTGTGATATCGCAATGGGTTAAGATGCATCTGAGAAGTGCGATATCACAGGTGTTTAACAATTGTGATATCAAATTTGTTGAACAGATCCATTGACAATTGTGACGTCACAGTGAATTGACAAGATGAGTATGTCTATTGTGATATCACAGTTGATTGAGGAGCTGTATTGACAACTGTGACTTCACAGTGGATTGAGAAGATGTGCTTATCAATTGTGACTGAGCCAGCTTTTTAAAAAAGCTGCTCCTGTCACAATTGTCAAGCTCATCTTCTCAATCCATCATAATGTGAATAGTCCGCTCTCAGCACTCAAGTTCTCTCTGGACTGAAGAGTTGAGCAATCAGTCAGAGTTGTTTCGTAATCTTGAACTTTCTCATCATAAAGTAGATTTACATTTTATTTTCCGAAGGGGCTTCTTTTACATTCATAGTCATGCAGTTCAGGTTTTTTTAAGATATGATATTCTCTAATATTTGTGTTATTTAGTGAATGGAGGCTATGACCAGGAATAACTGCTGTAACTATGACACTCTGCACTGTGAATTGGTCATCACCTCATTAAGGTCTTTACTAGGGGTGCTCCGATTGATCGGCTACCGAAACTCCGTTTACAGTGCGTATGTGGTGCGTATTTTTTCCGCGTTCCTCGAGCGGTGCATCTGCAGCAGTGCAGAGATCGTTTTCACACCGAGTCTGTTTGCTGCGCTGCAATCGCTGAATTAAAGTAACAGCGCATTGTTTGCAGTAAATATGAACATGGATTGACACGAAAATGTAGTAATTACACCATAAATGCATATTATTAAAGTCTACTGTGTTTCACAATCAACACATATGGCTTTTTGGCTAGGTTTAAAGGAAAACAGCACTTTTAGATCAACAAGGCAGTAATAGATGGCACTCGTGGAGGTAGAAAAACAAAGTTCTTTATGAACCGCAGGATTGCATTTAATAAAGATTTAAATGCTGAAAAAGCCTTTTCAGTTACAATGTTTGGATTTGAAATCAAAATAATGGATAAATGTTGTTTGTGGTAAACAGCCACGGATCAGTAGCGGACTCCTGTGTGAAAGCTGCTTACCCTCTCAGAAGAGTCACCTAAGAGGGGAATTCCCCCCATTTTCAAAAATGAAATTCAGGCCCTGAATAAATGTCTAAAAATCCTGATTGGAGTATAACTATAAATAGTTATAAATGATAAAAAGAAGGCTTTAAAAAGATCGGTATCGGTGATCGGTATCGGCAGATACTGCTTTCTGTGATCGCGATCAGTGATCGGCCTCAAAAACCCTGATCGGAGCACCCCTAGTCTTTACACATGTCTCCTGTCAACATGAGATTCGAACTGGAGGCCAATGGACAGTTCAGGTAGTGAGCGTACCTTGATTAAAGGCAAACATAGTGTATGGTGGCCGGGGGTGAGGGTTCGGTGAGCGATAAGCACTGTGTGTGTGTGTGTGTGTTTGAAGCCAGCATTACCAGGCAGCAACATCCTCTGACTGAGGCCATCTGCACAGCCACCAGCCTGCCTGCCTGCCTCACACCTGTTCCCCTCTCCTCCACTCCCACTGGCCTCACGCGGGTCAAACGCATGAAACCAGACACTGCCACAGCATAATGAAGAGATGACTCGGCTGCCTACACCAACACACACACAGCTGTGTGTGAGAGAGAGATATGGAAATACTCATCCATTATTTTCGAGTATGTCCAGGAGATATTTACTCATATTGGTTTAAGCTTATATGTAAATTTAATACATATTTTCTGTTAGGATGATCTATAAATATGCACCATGCACCACTAGAAATTAATTAACCACACAGTGTGAAATATTAACCTTTTTTTTGTCGCATTCATGAAAGACAAGCATTGTGTGTTTCACTACTGATAAATGTGCTTCTCATTTACCTTAAACGCAGAGCAGCGCAAAAACATTTGTAGTTAAGTGCTTACTGTGTATTTTAAATGACGAACAGCAGACGTTCTGGCCGAAAGCCAGGCGTGTTATCATTGCAGTAACTCATTTCATTAGTGATGTCATTAACCCCAAACATAAACTGGCAGACATTCTCACCAGACACTTGCACAAATACGCAGCATGTCTCGTTGCTTCACAATTTCAAAAACATGCTCTTTGTGCATAAAGATACAGAAACACACGCTGTAAATTTTGCAGTGAGCCAATGTATGTGTGCAAAAAGGTCTAAGCTGACAGACCATAAAATTTCTCTGGATGAATAAAAATTGTAATAACAAAAGGGAAGAAAAACGAGCGAGTTCAGTTACGTGACATCAGCCAAGTGCATTATATGCGCTCTTAATATTTCAGCTCTTAAGGGAAACATTCCCAAAATGCATTAGCGTTATTTCACTCGCATCTCTTTCCATTGAGCTATATCATCTATGAGGCTCTTTATATTCATTGAGGGCTACTGTTGGACTTGCTGACACACTCAATCTTGGACTGTAAATAAGCGACGTGAGTTGGGCTTTGTCAGAGGGGAGAAAGGGCCCTTATTTGCGAGGGCTATAGATTTGACTCGACGGGAGTCTCTGTGGAGGGCTAACCGTGAATGATTGAGGCGGCCATCATCTCCCAGAATCCGTGCTTCGGATCGATAGGGAGCATAATGGCTACACATTTTTCAGCGAGGGGAATTTAGCGTGTGGTTATTGGATTTCATAAAGCATGAAAGTATAATGTGAGAGAAGAGGATGAGTGGTTTTTATTGTATCGTGGGGCTGGAGAGTACAATATAATGAGGCAATATAAAGTCAAA